TTTTATTCTTAATCTTTTAGTTATACATCACCTTAAGAAATCAGTTTTAATTTTTTTATGAAGGTTTCTTCCAAGTGTCACTTCAAGTAAGGGGGGGGGGGATTTGGCTGTAACATATGATATAGAAATTCTCTTGACATGGTTATTGACACTGCTTTATGCATGTATAATTAATAGTAATACCTACCATAAATATAGTGATATTGTTAAATTGATACTTTATGAGTGGACATGGCATTGTGTGTTTTGCATGAGGTTTTATTAGGTAAACATGAGAATGTGAATGTGATCAAGATGTTAGTTTCACAATGCAGGCATGATACTTAAGGTATTTGAGTTTAAATGATTATAACAGAAATCTGATGTGTGGTGATGAATGAGTGAGACTTGCTATTGTAAAATGTATTGTTAGGATAAGTCTTCATTTATTAAGGTTTACAAATGAGTTTTTAATTATGTTACATTGAAAAGAAAGAAAGAAGGAAAAATGTAGAGGTAATTGATGATCTTACTCCAAAATAAAAAAAAAGAGAAAATGTGGGATGCTTATTTATAATACAGAAATTTTCGTTCTTTGTTACATGCCCTCTATCAATATATCAGTTGATGTAAAAATCACTGGGTATGTATTTTGTGTGTGTGTGTGAAATGCAAGGTCTTAGTTTAAATATACTCTAACAATCTTAGAAATAGTTTTCTTTACAACTGCTACCATACTATGTATTTTTGCACACATTAAAAATAATGTTTTAAAAGTAAGTTTCAGGTGATTTACTAAACCATCAATTATAACTACATATATAGGCACAAAGTTCAAATGTTAGGCCTTTTGGTTAATAACTTGTAGACTAACGATTGCTGTTAAAGCTGTAATCTGCATCATATGGACAGAGTTTTGAGAAAAAATATATTAAATATGTCTTTTATTTAAAGGAAATAATTTAGTCCCCTTTTCAAACTCTTGTAAACCTTTTGTCACCATTACTGACAGTGGTAGCTCAGTTCATAAGCCAGTCAACTTTTTAGAAAATAAAACTGTCTTAACCTTGTGCATATGGCTCAGTAAGTTTTTATGTCTTTCGACTAAAGATTTATCTGTTAATATACAAAGCCTTTACTAGACTAGTCTGAGTCAAAAGTGATTTCATGATAAGAATAAAAATACTCCTTTTCAAATTACAGTTTTCATATTTCATTTGCTTAATACAGACCTTGATAAATATTTTCAGATCTAGGAGCCAGGAGTGCTTAACCTAACTACTACTGTTTATACTGGGAAATGGGGGCTACACTAGTGCCTTAATTATCCACAGTTTTTCTTTTCCACAAATGTTTTCAAAATAATTGGTCCATTAAAATTTTAGACAATAATTTACATGTTTTGGTGAAATTGTTGCTCAGAAAGTAATTTTGGTTGCAAAGGTTCAATTGCATAATATTCAGGGTTTTCGCATGCAGGATCTGGCATGCATTCAAATCGTAGGTCAGCCTAGCCATGCCTCTTTTATTTTTAGCTGTTAAGACAGGAATGCAAACTATTTGTAGCTTGGTTAACTTTATTTGATTAGTGATTAAAAACATAGTATACAAAAACACACAAAATATACACTAAGATTTCACTCAACTTCAGTTATCATCCAGTGTTGTATGGTGTGCATCCTTTAACTATACATGGATGTTTAGGTTGTGTTTGGTTACGCATTGTTCTCTTCCCTACAGATAATTGGTATCTTCAATCTGTTTTAACAAAGCTTTTTTGTAATAATTTCAAAGCATACACTTACACTAATTTTGGAACTATGTATCACAAGCATTGATAGGGTATAAATGTTTTTTCCATGTCTATAGCAGAAAAGGGGCCAAAATTTAGGAGCTATTTATGGCTATTGGGACCATATCAGAAGATTTTTGAAAACCTGTATATATCACTCAAAAAACAAGAAATCCACGAAGAAAAATGTTATCAGAATAATGAAAGAATATTTTATTTACTGAATCACTGTTTATTTTCTTATGATATCATATATTACTAGATGATTTTGCAAAGCTTCTTTTATTCAAATTCTAGAATTTTTACAACTACAAAAGTAAGACTAATTTGTCTATAATTTCCATGCAACCCTAATCATCTCTTTTAAGAATAAAGAATAATCATTAGCAATTTCTCAGACACTGTATTGATTAAACAAAATTAAATTGTTATTTGACTTCCTTTAGAACCCTCAGAAACACATTGTCTGGTCCTGGTTCCTTGTATATTTTTAATGTCTTTTTCTTTATCATCAAGGGAATAACATCCACATGATTCAAGTTAATTCCACTATTTCCCACAAAGTTTTCAGGATCAGTCATTGCTAACATCCTCCCTTGTAAAAACAAAAACAATTTTTGAAAGCACTGCCATCTTTAAAAGAAAAATCTGGATCATATTGTTTTTACTAGCTGTAATAAATTAATTTCAATATGGTCCTACCTTCACTCTCACACTCGATCTTCTTTCTGACTTTTAAGCATTACTGAAAAAATTTACACACTCAGTGTATCAGTCTGTATACCCCACCAATTTGGCACCACCATTGAATATGTACATAACATGTGAGTACTCTCCACCAATAGTATTGTGCCACCTATATTGGCACTGCTAGCTCTCTCTGCTATCCTCAGTATTATGATTGGCACAGCATTCTTTAGATGTGTGTTTTTTCACATGTGGCTCCCATTTATGATTGTGATTCTTTGTTATTTAATTTTTTTTTCAACAGTTTTATTTTACTGTGTTTGCATTTGAATGTTTCAACGTTTTTTTTTTTTTTTTTT